CGCGCTCACACGCACTCCATGGACCCTATCCTTGGTCTCCTCTTTAACCCCTCTGCTCCCCCATAGGGAGACTCCCATGCGGAGTTCATCGCCATTCAGCAGCATGCTCCACGCCTCCTTCCGCTCTACACAGGCTTCCTTGGCTTCTTGCTGCTCGGCGCTTCCTCCCCCCCCTCCATCTACGTCCCCACCGACTTTTGGGAAGCCATCACTGGCCCCGATCGTGACAAGTGGATTCCTGCGGTCTTCCGCGAGGTCGAGGCGTTCATTCGCAACAACTCGTTTGTTGACGTGATTCCTCCTCCTGGTGCTAACATCGTCGAAGGGAAATGGGTCTTTCGGGTGAAGCAGTTGCCTGGCAAGAAGCCGGTCTACAAGGCCCGCTCCTGCGTCAAGGGATTCACCCAGACTTGGAGCGTCGACTACTGGGACACCTTCTCCCCCACAGCCAAACTCCCCACCATCCAGACCCTCCTCGACTTTGCAGCTCGCATGTCCATGGTCATCTGCAGCATGGACGTCTCCAATGCGTTCCTGCAAGGTGAACTACGCGAGAAAGTCCTCATGCGGCGACCGCCGGGCTTTCATGCTGCCTTCCCGCCCAACACCGTCTGGTAGCTTCGGCGCCCTGTGTATGGCTTAAAGAGGGCACCTCGCGAGTGGCATGCGAAATTGGCTGCCACCCTTCAGGCCATGGGCTTCCATGCCACCCACTCCGATGCCAGTCTCTTCCTCCGTGCCGTCCCCAGCTATTTCTTCATCCTCGTCTATGTGGATGACACGATCCTCATAGCCGATAAGGAAGCTGACAGGGTACAGGTCAAGGCCGAGCTTCAAACACGCCTTCAATGCAAGGACCTGGGCGCACTGAAGAACTACCTCGGCATGACCATCACACGCGACCTGGAGGCCCGCACCATCATGCTGTCCCAGTCGTTCTACATCCACCAGGTCCTGGAGCGGTTCACCATGGCACAGGCCAAGCCGGTGTCCACCCCCCTTCCCGTTGGTCATCAGCTTGCGCCTTCCACCTCTCCCTCCGCCTCTATCACCCCTATGCCAAGCTTGTCGGGTCCCTCATGTACGCCATGATGTGTACGCCTACCCCATCAGTGTCCTCGCCCGGTTCATTGGCACCGGCTGCCATACTCTCGCCGACATACGCTATCATACTCTAACACAGGTCGTCTAACATGCTCGACTAGTATATTAGCTAGGTTTACATCAACCTGTGGTGTACACATCAAAGCGCAAGGTGTGTTAATCCAACTCTGGAGTGGTTGGAGCCCCTGAGCACCAAGACCACAACGTTGGGACAACGTAAGTGGCTCCCATAGTGGTTGGGTACCGTTCCTACCCAACTGCATGAGGCACTGTTCATCCTTCTCTTGCTAGCTTACCTTCCTTCCCAACTTTCCTATGTATGCTCCTGTTTCTATTATTGAAATAACTTCATCACTTCTTTCACCCAGCACCGATGCCACCCTCAGGACCGTCGGGACAAGCCACGAGAGTAACCCCAGGACTAGCACCCTGCTCAATGCCCGCACCCGCAGAGCTCGCGGACCCCTGCGGCGGCTGCTGCTGCGGCGGCGTCGACTGCGGCTGCTGCTGTGACTGCGACGACGACAACGGCTGCTGCTGTGGCGATGGTGGAGGAGGAGACACCGGGGTGGAGACAGGCGGTGAGAACGGTCCCGCGGGGCCACCAGATTCAGCCGAATCCTCGACCAGGACAACCGACGGGAGGGAAGTGACGTGAGACACACCAGACGGGGCAGGATAGGGAGGGAAAGGAGCAGGGGCTACCGGGGGAGTGGGAACCAGAAACAGAGGCGGGGAAACCGGGAGACCTTGGTGGGGAAAGCGGTGGTAGAAGGAGACAGACGCGTCAAAAGTGGTGTCACGCGAGTGAAAGAAGCGGTGAGACGGCGGGTGGTAAAATTGCCAGTCAGACGCGTCGAGGGGGAAGCCAAGGAAGACACAGGGGACAGTGCGGGCAGTAAGCTTGTTCGTGCGAGAGGCACAAACGTGAGCAAGGCAGCCCCAGACGTGGAACGCAGATGCATCACCAAGGAACCTGGTCCAGAGAAGGGTCGGCGAAACCTGCGGCCGCTGGGAGTGCAGCCACAGGTTAAGCTGGTGAGCGGCATAGCAAACAGCGAACGGCCACAAAAAATGGGGTGCACCGGCATGGATTATGGAGGTACGAGCCACCTCCATGACCAATCCGATGCATCGCGCAACGACCCCATTCTGCTGTGGGGAGTCCGGCAGGGTGTACGTCTGGGTGATGCCCTCCGCACGTCAGAACAGGCCAAGCCGACTGGAGGCATGCTTGCCACCACAGTCAGAATGTAGACACAGCAGAGGGAGGCCACGATAGACTCGTGCAGCGACCACCCACGGGATAAGAACGTCAGGCACGTCGGCCTTACGCTCCAGGGGAAACAACGTAGTGTAGCGCGTGTAGTCGTCGACAAGCACTAGAAAGTAGTGCTCACGACGCGGCCCGGGGATGGGGGTTGGGCCCGAGACGTCCAGGTGCACGATCTGGAGTGGCGCAGTGGCAGGGCGAAGCGAGGAGGAGTGAGACGCAAGGCGCAACCGGCCCTAGACATAGGGCGTGCATGGCGGCGCAGGCAAGGGTGGGAGGGCAGGGAGCGACGCAGGGAGACCTAGGACAAGACCGTGATGGGAGATGCAATGCAGGCAGGGGAGGGCGGGGTGACCTAGGCGGTGGTGCCACAGAAGCGACAGGTGAGTAAGCGACCGACACGAGCAAGCCGCATCGACCTGGGTAGACGCAGGCACCTGGGGAGGTGCTCTTACCGAGGGGGACACATTGTCAATCATAAACAAGCCAGAAACCAAGTCCCAGAGGAACGTGGTGAGGGGAGAAACTGTCGCGGCCTCGGTACAGACCGCGTACCACTCGTGTTCAAGGAACATAGTGGTGACGCCGAGATCCCGAAGACAGCCGACACCAACTAGGTTCCTGGAGAATGAGGGGATGTGCAGGCCTGTAAGAGAGCCTGAGGGAACTGCTAGACAAGGAAGGGTAGTGGAGCTATGGGCAACTACCGGACGTGAGGAGGGGTCAGCTAGCGCGACAGCGGCAGGGGTGGCAAGCAACGTGAGCACAGTGTGGTCGCGGAAGAAGCAAGTAGACGCACCAGAGTCGAGCGGGAAAGAGAGTGAAACAGTGGCGGCATTCGGCGGAGGGGTTAGCATGGAGCCAAGGCTAAACAAGGCAAACGGTCCTACACCTGACAGAGCTGGGGAGCCTACACTACACTCAGGTGACAGACCTAGATTAGGCAACACTGGGTAATAAGATCTGGTTACACTAGAGTCATCAGCATACATGGCATGCAAGGCAGAGCAAAATTGATCCATATCCATCTCAATGACCGGAACAGGGGGGCGAACCAGACTGGGCCAATCGGGGAGGTCCAGCGCAGGGCCGAAGCGGAGATGGAAGAGGTCGTCGATGCGGCGGAAGCAGCGGGCGGCAGTGTGGTTGGGACGGCCACACACAGTGCCACGGAGGGGATCGACATGGAGCTGGTACTGGCAAACTACAGAGTCGAAGCTACCACCCGACGCCGAGCTGTGAGGGTCGACACCGCGACCACTACCACCAGAGACACCGGGCCACCCCGGCGGGAGGCGGCTCCACTGCTGCGGCTGCTGCTGCGATTGTTGCTGCTGCTGTTGCGATTGATGCTGCAACTGCTGCTGCTCCGGGGCACCAGCTCCGGTCCCCTCGTCTAAACCATCGTCCCTGCCCCCACCTCCACCACCCCCACCACCCCCACCACCCTTCCCTCCGCCACGCCCCCCCTTTGGGCAGCGACCCCTACCCTGACATGGCTGCGCTGAGGCCGGAACAGCGATCTCAGCGGCAGGGGCTGTTTCAGCAACAGCAGCAGAAACGATTGAGTAAGTGCACTAGGAGGGAGCACAACCTTGAAAGATAGGGACCGCTGCAGTACCGCTAGACTGAGCGATAGTGCGCTGGCGGGTCTCTATCTCGGATAGGGTGGTGACAAAGGCGGTAAGGGTGAGGTCAACAGGGTGTTGACTAAGGAAGTGGTCGTGGGCAGTGGCAAGGGAGGCGTGTGGCAATGAGGTACAGGGTGTTGTGTGATGTCATCATATGTTATCACATTCTGTCTGCCTCCCATCCCTTGTTTCAATTCGCACGTATGGTTTGACTGTGTGTGAAAGAATTTGTGTGGTGTGTGTTCTGGAGTTTGGGAATGTGTTTTGTGTTATTCTGTCTGAGCAGGTATTTGTGATGATAGATCTTGAGAAGATCTTTCCGACGCAACAAGAATCGCGTCAATCGGAGCAAGAACGCGAAAGCTATGAAGATTCAAAGTTCATGAGCTTGCGTTACAATTGCGGCGGTTACAAAGTGAAGTTGTGGGGTGACTTTATATGGAGTTGGGACCTTTGGGGTTGGGGAAATTCGTCACTCTACTGTAACAGCTGCAAATTGGTTGGGAACAACCAAGCTAGGTTGGCAAGGGTGGCCAACTTGGATGGATTGGTTGGGAAGGGACAAATGTCAAAGTTGGGGTTCCTATAGGGAGGGAATCTTTGTGCTTATGGGGTTTCCTTGGTTGGGGACTCTCTTGGGACCTTCCCTCTCATCCCTCTCTTCTATCCCAACCTTTCTCTTGCTCCTCTAAATTCCTTGTGAGATTCTTGAACTTTGATTGAACCTTTGAGATTGAGTTAAGTTCTCCTCCTACAGCTTACCCCCTAATGCGTCGAAAGCCATAGCGTCGCGAATACTTCATCAATCAACGTGATTCAAATTGGGAACGGTAGCTGAGATTAAGAGCTACAACATATCCAAGTTTCGCGACATTCCAACGGCTAGTTTTTCGTCGACGTCGTTTCTTGTAAAGACGACTTTTCTGTCCAGAATTTCGGATTTATATTTTGAGTAATTCTAGCTCCTAAGTTCACCTAGACTCCGTCCTTAATCCTAACAAGTGGTATCAGAGCGATATTAAGGACATTGAGAGGAGTCTACAGAAGTTTGAAGACCCTTCTAGACCCACCATGGCCTGTGGGTGTGCCTAAGTGGTGTTCTAAAGGTTGGATGTGTCTTCCGCTAAGGGGAAACTCTGCCGAAATTTCGTGGACGCCGACACTTGTGAAAATATCGAGGGAGCTGAGTGTGGACAGCAAAGGGGAGCTGAAATTCGTCATTTCTCAAGGAGAAGATGAATGAGAGAGGAGGAGATGCTAATGGAAGAGGAGCTGTACCTGAGAAGACAAGTGAGCCGCCGCCATCAAAGGTTGAAGCTTTGGATGGCTCCAACTATGAGGAATGGAGCGGACGGATGAGGAGTGCCTTCAAACGCTACAAGCTACTGAAGATTGCTGTTGGGGAAGAGAAGATGCCGGAAGAAGGCGAAGCACGTGAACGGTGGATTGAGAAAAGCGCGGTGCTTTTCGACCTCATTCTTCAATCGGTCAACAAGGAGATGTTCGAGCACATCAAGGATCTTGTGGAAGCGGATGATTCGGGTCCAAGGGCGTGGAAACTACTACGTGATGTGGTTCAGCCCAACACTCTCCCGATGGTGATCGTGCTCGAGAAGGAACTTGCTGCCATCTCCATGCGACCAGGGGACGATGTGAAGCCGGTCCTTGACAAGATCAAGGACACCTATGCAAGGATGGCAGCAGCGGGCAGCAGTGTATCTCAGCTGCAGCAGTGCACCAAGATCATCTCGGTGTTGGACAACTCTTGGGACAACCTCATCCCCACCCTCAACTCTCAGCAAGATCAATGGACACCTGAGTGGCTAAGGCAGCAGATTCTGCAGGAGGACTTCCGCAGACGCCATGTGGGAGGCGGTGCTGCCACTAAGACTGCTGAGGGGTATGGAGCTGCAGGGCGCAGCAGAGGAAGAGGGGGTTGGAAAGGCCGAGGCCGTGGGAGGAGCTTTGGCAGAGGTAGAGGCCGAGGTGACTATAATGAGGGGCATGGGAGCTCTAGTGGCAGGGGGAGTACCAGAATGGAGGGCACGTGCTGGTACTGCAAGAAGGTTGGGCATCCTTGGTTCAAGTGCTTCAGCAGGCTGGAGGGATGGGCACCTCCAGGCATGAAGCCGCCCAGTGGTGAACGCGCACAAGGTGGCGCTGTGCAAGGCTCAGGTGCACAAGGTGAAGGTGCACAAGGTAATGCCTATCCTGGTTTGTTTGTTATGGTTGAGGATGTGCATGGGCATGAGGGTGATGTGGGATCTGTGGGAAAGGTTGTGATGCACCCTCTCACGCACTGGGTGATTGATTCGGGTTGCACCAGTCACATGACCCCACGGGCAGATTTGCTTGATGAGGTAAAACCCCCTGGGAAGATCAAGTATGTGGCAGCAGCGTCAGGTGCTTTGCTCCCTGTCATTGGTGTTGGAAATGCCAAGGTTAAGGGAGCTAATGGGGAGCTTGTGGGGCTTGGGAATGTTCTGCTGGTTAAAGGCTTGTCTGCTAACCTTCTCTCTGTGCGACGACTGCAGAAGAGCAAGGCCGAAGTGACCTTTGGACCAACCAGCTGCCGTGCTAAGCTTGGGAAGAAGGTGCTATGGAGTCTGGAAGAGGAGACCAGTTGCATCAAGGACCTGTGGCAGCTGCCCATCATCCCATGGAATGGGAAGACTCCAACAGCAGCAACGGCAGCAGCGGCAAAGGCAACAGCAGGAGGAGATGCAACTGCACCAACTGATGGGGTCCTGGAAGCAGTCAAGAAAGTGCAGCAGCAGCAGAGACATGGTGAGGTGCTTGCTGGTGTGGATGCGAGTGCGGCATGGGCTAAGGCTTCATCAAAGAGTGGAGAGGCCGATTGGGAGACATGGCATGAGAGGCTGTGTCATGTGAACTTCCCTATGCTACAGAAGTTGGTAAAGGATGGGAGCCTGAAAGGCTTGGAGGTGAAAGGGGGAGTGAAGGAGATTGGGAGCTGCCCTACATGCTTGGAGACCAAGTTCTCCAAGTTCCCCTTCAACAGCACTACAGGACCAGCCAAGACCCCACTTGCACTTGTGCACATGGATGTGGTGGGGCCCACAAGAGCCCCTTCCCTCTCAGGCAGCCGCTATTTCTTGACAATTGTGGATGACCACACTCGAGCAGTGTGGGTTTACCCTTTGAACAGCAAGGGGGAGGTGGCAGCGGCTGTCCTTAAGGAGTGGATGCCGAGAGCTCAGAGGGAATGCGGACACAAGGTGAAGGTGATCCGTAGTGACAATGGTGGGGAGTTCATTGGAGCTGATTTTGAGGGGGAGTTGAAGAGGAAGGGGATCCAGCATCAACTGACAGTGCCCTACAACCCACAGCAGAATGGCGTGGCTGAGAGGTTCAACAGGACCCTGCAGGAGGGGGCACGCACTCTCCTTGGGCGTGCAGGGCTGCCTGATCCGTTTTGGGTGTCTGCACTGAGGCAGGTCGCCCTTGTGAAGAATAGGGTGCTGGCTACAGTTGGAGATAAGGAGTGGATCCCATATGCCAAGTGGTATGGGAGTGCTCCAGCGGTGAACATGCTGAGGGCATTTGGGTGCATGGTGGTGTTTCATGTGCCCAAGGAGAAAAGGGGGAAGTTGGAGGCTTCTGGAAGATGGGGTGTGCACTTGGGGATTGCAAAGGATCACAAGGGGTGGCTGCTATGGGACCTGACCACCCAGAAGCTGACAGTGTCAAGGGATGTGAAGTTTCTTGAGTCCCTGTACTATAAGGAATGGAAGCAGCAGCAACAGAAGCTTCCATCTACACCACTCATTGTGGAGGCAGATGAGTTGCAGCAGCCTTCAAGACAGGTGGAGGTTGCAGTGTCAGAGGAGGAGATGTCTGGGGTGACTGAGGAAGGGGGAGCAGCTGAAGTAGAGCAGCAGCAGCAGCAGCAGCATGAGTCTCCACCTCGAGTTCCACACCCGCCTGAGCGTCCTAGGAGGGATGTGCGCCCTCCAGTGAGGCTGACCTATGGGGGAAGAGGCAAGCCGAATGTGGTGCAGGCTGGGAGTGTGGTTGAGCAGATTGAGGAAGATGAGATCGCTCACTGCTACTGGGCACCAATCCCTGAGCCCAAGACTCGAGAAGAGGCCTTGAATGGACCAAATGGGGAGAAGTGGAAGGCGAGTGAGGATGAGGAGTTTGGGTCCCTGATTGAGAACGAGACATGGGACCTGTGTGACTTGCCTCCTGGAAAGAAGGCAATCACTTCCAAGATGATCTACAGGCACAAGTATGGACCTGAAGGGGAGCTGACCCGATACAAGTCTAGGCTTGTGGCAAGGGGGTTTCAGCAGACAAAAGGGAAGGACTATGATGAGGTGTTTGCTCCTGTGGGGAAAGGAACAACACTGAGGGTGCTGTTGGCGATAGCTGCACTCCTGGGATGGAAGATACGGCAGATGGACATTGTGACTGCCTTTCTGAATGGGATCATTCTGGAGGAGGTGTATATGAAGCAGCCAGAGGGGCTGGATGATGGGAGCGGCAGGGTCTGCAGGCTGAAGAAGGCCATCTATGGCCTTAAGCAGGCGCCTCGTGCATGGTATCACAAGTTGGAGGAGGCGCTGCTGGCTGGGGGTTTCAAGAAGAGTGAGTGTGACCCCAGCCTGTTCCTGCTGCAGGAGAAGGATGAAATCCTCATGCTCTTGGTGTACGTGGATGATATCCTTCTCTTTTCTGCATCAACTGCTTTGCTGGACAGCGCAGAGCAGATGCTAGAGATGCAGTTCAAGTGTTCCAAGATGGGTGAGGTGAAGTACTACTTGGGGATGCATGTGGAGAGAGATGTGGAGAAGGGTGTGCTGAGGTTGCACCAGAGGAAGTACTGTGAGGGGCTGGCTGAGAAGTATGGGCTGCAAGATGGGGGAAAGCCAGCAACACCACTACCTTCAGGGTTTACTGTGGAGCCATGTGCTGATGAGGAGGTAGTGGGTGAGAGTGACAGGAAGCTGTTTCATTCGATGGTTGGGTCGCTGAATTATGCTGCAAATCATACACGGCCTGACATTGCATTTGCTACATCACGGTTGGCTAGTGTGGTCTCACGCCCTAGTCATGAGCAGCTGGAAGCGGCCAAGAGGTTGGTCCGCTATGTGAGTGCTACGGCATCAGTGGGATTGGAGTACAGTGGAGTGAGGCAGCGGTTGCAGAGAGGTGCTGCAGATGTGAAGAGTGGTGAGATGCTCTTGAGTTGCTATACTGACGCTAGCTTCAACTCAGTGAAAGCGGATGGCACCAGCATTGGGGGTTATGTGTGCTTGCTAGGAGGTGGTGCTGTGAGCTGGCGCAGCAAGAAGCAGAATGAGGTGGGATTGTCCTCATGTGAGACTGAGTACATGGCCTTACACCATGGGGCCAAGGAAGTAGTGTGGCTAAGGCGTTTGTTGGAGGAGTTGGGAGTTGGTCAGGAGGAGCCGACAGTTGTGTTCTGTGACAATGAGTCTGCTGTGAAGCTCGCCAAGAATGCTTGTTTGCATGGGCTGACAAAACACATAAGGCCTAAGTGGCACTGGGTGAGGAGACTCCTTGATAAGGAGGTGCGGCTGGAGATAGTGAAGACCCATCAGCAGGCAGCAGATATTTTCACCAAGCGTCTGGCGGAGGCGGATCATTGGAAGGGCATGAAGCTTGCTGGGATGAGTGTGCATTGAGTATGCATGCTTGAGATGTTGGTATGGTGGTTGATGGTTGGCAGCCAGAGGGGGAGATTGTTGTGTGATGTCATCATATGTTATCACATTCTGTCTGCCTCCCATCCCTTGTTTCAATTCGCACGTATGGTTTGACTGTGTGTGAAAGAATTTGTGTGGTGTGTGTTCTGGAGTTTGGGAATGTGTTTTGTGTTATTCTGTCTGAGCAGGTATTTGTGATGATAGATCTTGAGAAGATCTTTCCGACGCAACAAGAATCGCGTCAATCGGAGCAAGAACGCGAAAGCTATGAAGATTCAAAGTTCATGAGCTTGCGTTACAATTGCGGCGGTTACAAAGTGAAGTTGTGGGGTGACTTTATATGGAGTTGGGACCTTTGGGGTTGGGGAAATTCGTCACTCTACTGTAACAGCTGCAAATTGGTTGGGAACAACCAAGCTAGGTTGGCAAGGGTGGCCAACTTGGATGGATTGGTTGGGAAGGGACAAATGTCAAAGTTGGGGTTCCTATAGGGAGGGAATCTTTGTGCTTATGGGGTTTCCTTGGTTGGGGACTCTCTTGGGACCTTCCCTCTCATCCCTCTCTTCTATCCCAACCTTTCTCTTGCTCCTCTAAATTCCTTGTGAGATTCTTGAACTTTGATTGAACCTTTGAGATTGAGTTAAGTTCTCCTCCTACAGCTTACCCCCTAATGCGTCGAAAGCCATAGCGTCGCGAATACTTCATCAATCAACGTGATTCAAATTGGGAACGGTAGCTGAGATTAAGAGCTACAACATATCCAAGTTTCGCGACATTCCAACGGCTAGTTTTTCGTCGACGTCGTTTCTTGTAAAGACGACTTTTCTGTCCAGAATTTCGGATTTATATTTTGAGTAATTCTAGCTCCTAAGTTCACCTAGACTCCGTCCTTAATCCTAACACAGGGTAGCGCAAAGCGGCGGGGGGAATGCATTGAGCTGGGCCTTAGTGCTAGCGGCGCGGTAGCTAGTCTCAAGGGCGCGGAGATGAGTGGCAAGGTCAGCGACAGTGGGAAAGGACGCAAGATCAGGGAACAGCATGGAGAGGATCAGGCGGCCAGCAGAGGTTGTGGCGGGCGTGGAATAGCGTGCAACGACTGCATCTAAGAATTCCTTGGCATTCGCTACAGTGGTATAGCGGCAGGGCTCAAATTTGAAGGGTGTTTCACCCTGATTACCCTTGCCAGCGGCCGCTTTTTCAGGATTACCCTGATTTTGTAAGGCCAATTTTTCTCTGACCCTTTCTCAGAAAGTGTAAGGAATATTTTACCCTGTTGTAGCAAGAGTGTTCGTCTTATTACCCTGACCAATCAGGGTGCGCCAAAAAACACCCTGAAACAGATAACTCCCAACCCTCGAAATATGCCAACTGTCGAATCTGCCACGCAGGCAGGCAGCCCCGCCCACCTACACCGAATCCCGCGGCACTTCGCACCAACAGATTTTCGTTTTGGCCGCTCCCTCCTCCAGTGTCTCTGTTCCCTGCCTTCGTCTCTCTCGCTCGTTCCCAGCCTTGTTAGTCTCTCGTTGCTCCCGTACTCTCTCGCTGCTCCAGTAGTCTCTCGCTGCTCCCGTAGTCTCTCTCTGCTCCCGTAGTCTCTCTCTGCTCCCGTAGTCTCTCGCTGCTCCCGTAATCTCTCGCTGCTCCCTTAGTCTCTCGCTGCTCCCTTAGTCTCTCGCTGCTCTCTTACCATAGTCTCTCGCTGCTCCCTTAGTATCTCGCTGCTCCCTCAAGGCGTATTCCTGAGGTAGCACCAGAAACAGATTCGAATTCAGACTTGCATGGTAAAGTAAGGTGCAAGAGTGAAATGAGGTTTGGTTCGGTTCGGATTTGCGCGGCTTTGATTCTAATTTTGTTTCTGATGCTAACTCATGAATACGCCCTTAGTCTCTCGCTGCGCATGCGAGTTAAAACTAAGGGCGTAAGGGCGTATTCATGAGCGAAATGAGTCCAAACTCACGAATATGCCCTTAGTCTCCCGCTGCTCTGTTAGTCTCTCGCTCCTCCCCCTGCGCATCACCATGTCCTTGCCCCTGCGTTTCCTCCCCTTCAGCACCTCCAGCAGCAGCTTCATCCGCGGAAGGAAGGAACACTGTAGCTGTTACTGCCCTCGCCGCTGTTGCTGTATCTCTGCAGTGGTGCAATGCTGACGGAGGTAGCTGAAGTAGGAGAGGCTATTGATTCTTTGCTGTAGTGATCCTGCTTGTATGCTTGCTAGTAAGAAGTTGAAATTGTAGTAGCTGTTAACCGCGCAGTGGACAGGGTGATGGCATTAGTACCCTGACTCAAACAGGGTATTGACTAGTTTTTACGAATTCACCCTGATTTTCAAAGGGTGCTGAAAATTCCACCCTAGGAGGCAGGGTATTTCTGTTGCGGTACCCTGATTCCCAAGGGTGCCTCTAAACCAATTTTGAGCCCTGTATAGCGGGGACGCTTAGACAAGGAGAGGGTGTGACTAATAGCAAGCTGCGCTACGGCGTCGCACGACTCGCAGACAGCACAAGCAAGCGCAGCAGCGGAAAAGGCCTCACGCTCATCAGGGGTGGGGGCATCAGGGAGGGCAGCAGACGCGGCGGGATGGGGAAGTAGACCATCGACATGAATAGCCAGAGAGTACCCGTTCTGGCGCTGACCTGTCAGGTGACGGCAGAGGTCGACGAGCCTGGCCTCAAAGTCGATCGCCTGACCCTCCGCGTCCAGGCGGAGCATAGCATCCACCAAGCTGTACACAGTGTGTCAACATATATATTTGTATATGTTTATAGGCTAGCTAGGAGCATATTATAGAGAGTACAATACTTAGAACAAAACTGCCCTGCATGCCGTATTCTAGTCAATTCGTTACCTTGAGACCCCCTGCCCTTCCTCTCCCTCAGCCATCAGGAGACTGCACCCTCTGCAGCAGCTTCCAGCTGCAGTTTTACTCTGTACCAAGCTTATGCTTCCACGCCTTAAAACGTACACGCTTTCAAACTTCCACACTTTCAAACTTCCAAGTTTAGGGCCGCCAAGCTTTCAATCTCCGTACCAGATTTTCTCTCTACCAGGCTTACACTTCCATGCTTTCAAGCTTCCAAGTAAAGCATGATCCATGAACAGGAACCTCCATCCACCACGCAACCAACATGAACATCTCCATCAAAATACTGTAGTACAGTACACACACAAGGAGATGTTTCCAATGCACTAGGCTGCCACCTCTGCTGCCACCTCTGATGCATCCTGCCCCCGGACCCCCGCCTCGCCCCCCTTGGCCGGTGTGCCCTGTTTGGCCTTCTTCCTGGTGGCAGCTGCCTCCCTTCTCCCGCTTGAGCCCCTTCATCTTCATCAGAGCCGTGGACCCCACCTCCTGCTTGCGGCACAGCGAGTCGTCGTCAGCTCACTCTCTTTAGCCTCCCACGTTTTTCACTCACATCCACCCCAACACTCGCACCAAAAACAGCCTCAGCATCTCCTGTCCTACTCTGCCGTTCCTACATCTTGCGCACCAACCTCCCCCCCCTCGTCCCCCTTGGCCGGTGCATCCTGTTTGGCCTTCTTCCTGGTGGCAGCCGCCTCCCTTCTCTCCCGCTTGAGCCCCTTCATCTTCATCAAAGCCATGGACCCCACCTCCTGCTTCGGCATGTAGATGCGCCCCACCTTGCCCTTTATTATATCTGACTTGACGTTCTTGATCTGCAAAGAAAGGTGCAAGGGAGCACTAGTTTTTATGCGTTGAAAACAACTCCTGCTTTGGCACGAAGATGCACCCCACCTTGCCCGTTATGATGTCTGACTTGAAATTTTTTATCTGCGGGAGAAGGGAATGAGGGAAAAAGGGGGTTTGAGACACCTTGGAAAAACCCTCCTGCTTTGGCATGTAGATCCGCCCCTCCTTGCCCTTGATGTTTTCCGACTTGGTGTTCTCGATCTGCAGGAGGGAAGAAACCAGACAGGGGGCAGCAAGACATGTAACGAGCAGCCCCTGTTTTCGCATCTAGACTAGACGCGCCCCAGCTTTCAGTTGATATTTCCGCCGGCAACGCAAACCAAGAGTGCACTTCACGCGATTTCTCCGTCCCATCCCCCGATAGCCTTCCCCTCCCTCCCCCATTCCACAATCCCCACACACCTTCTCGTGCCTCAGTTTCACTGCCCTCATGGCCTCCTTCCCCTTGCACTCTTCACCTTCATCTCTCCCATCCCCTCCCCTCTACCCACTTCCCTTCCCATCCCCTTCCCCCCTTTTCCCCTCCCTATTCCCCCATCGACACCCACCTTCTTCTCCTGCCAGAGCTTCACTGCGCTCATGGCCTCCTTCCTTCCCCCAGCACCTCTCCAGTGCACCCTCCACATAATCAGTGCACTCCTTCCTCACCATCCCAATTCTTTTCCCCTACCCCCACCCCGTCGCCTCTCGCTGCTCATCTTCTTCTCCTGCCCATGCTTCACTGCCCTCATGGCGTCCTTCCCTTTGGACTCTCCACTTTTTCTTCAATTCTCCCATCCCCACTATCCCCGCTATCCCCACTATCCCCACTATCCCCGCTATCCCCACTATCCCCACTATCCCCACTATCCCCACTATCCCCACTATCCCCACTATCCCCACTATCCCCGCTATCCCCTTCCCCTCACTCTCCCCCATCGCCACTCACCTTCTTCGCCTGCCCCAGATTCACTGCCCTCATGGCCTCCTTCCTCAGCCCCTCTCCGCCTTCCACTCCTCTCACAATCAAAGGCTCCTTCTTTCACTACTTCCCCACTCTCCCCCTCTCCCCCCCGCTCCCCCCCCCCCCTCCCCCCCCCCCCTCGCTGCGCACCTTCTTCTCTTGGCCGAGCTTCACTGCCCTCATGGCCTCCTTCCTCAGCTCCTCCCCGGGCAATCTCGTCCGTCGGATCTCAAAGTCGATGGACGGGCCGATGGGCACCAGCACCACTCGCGGCACCTTGGTTCCCGATCGCTTGAGGCGGATGGCGCAGTGGCGAAACAGGACCTGAAGGGAGAGGGGGAAAGAGAGAGGAGGGGGAGAGAGAGGGGGGGAGAAGGGGGGGGGGGAGAGAGGGGGGGAGAGAGGGGGGGAGAGAGAAGGGGGGGGAGAGTGGGAATGAGAGTCACACTAAGGGCACCGGCACCACTTGCAGCACCTTGGTTCCCCATCGCTTGAGGCGGATGGCGCCGTGGCGAAACAGGACCTGAAGGTGCAGGGAGGGGCAGATGCAGGGAAGGGCAGATGCAGGGAAGGGCATATGCAGGGAGGAGACAGATGCAGGGAAGGGCAGATGCAGGGAGGAGACAGATGCAGGGAGGAGACAGATGCAGGGAGGAGACAGATGCAGGGAGGAGACAGATGCAGGGAGGAGACAGATGCAGGGAGGAGACAGATGCGGGGAGGAGACAGATGCAGGGAGGAGACAGATGCAGGGAGGAGACAGATGCAGGGAGGAGACAGATGCAGGGAGGAGACAGATGCGGGGAGGAGACAGATGCAGGGAGGAGACAGATGCGGGGAGGAGACATTTAAAAGGAGGATGCACCTAGAGCCAACTCAAAAGTCACAAATGCAATGGCAAGATCTTGAGGAATACAAAGAAACAAGGAAACATGACCGGCGCGGAAACAAGAAAATACGACCGGAGCGGAAACAAGAAAAGGGCTGGGAACATGTGTGGAGTAGGCGCACCGCACTGCATGATTTGGCCAAAGAGCATTCAGTGCACGCAGGGAAAGAAGCGGGTCGGCTCTACATGCCTTGTTTCGTTGTGAGGGTTCATAAGAGGGTTCATAAGAGGGTTCATAAGAGGGTTCATAAGAGGGTTCATTAGAGGGTTCATAAGAGGGTTCATAAGAGGGTTCATTAGAGGGTTCATAAGAGGGTTCATAAGAGGGTTCATTAGAGGGTTCATTACCTTGCCATTCTGTGCAGCGCACACAAAGACTCGGTCTAGACCTGCCAGATCAACTGTTGCAGCCACCTGCGGAGGCAGAGGGAGGGAGCACAAGTGTCCTGGGTGCACCGTCCGGAAAGGAGTGCGGCCCTCACAAGGACTCTCAAAATATCTAGACTGCATCCAGATCCACTGTTGCACCCACCTGCGGAGGCAGAGGAATGGAGAGCAAGTGTCCCGGGTAGAAGGAAAGGGAGCATGATGGCAAGCGAATGCGCCGGGGTGGAGGGGAGGGAGGGGGAGGGAGTGTGGCGTTCTCAAGGATTCTAAACACATCTGAACTGCAGCCAGATCGACTGTTGCAGGCACCTGGAGAGGCAGAGAGAGATCACACATGATTGAATCCCCTGAACGGGTGACAGCAGAGATGTGAATGCAAATCATGCACGGGCAGAGGAGCGACTACACAGTGGAACAAAAGTTCCGTTTTCATATCCTGCAATCTTGAGATAGCGTAACGTGAGAGAGTGCCCGAGACAGGGACCAAGGCACCAATCCAACTAAAGAAGTCCGGCAAGAGGCTCTTGAGCTGCACTGCACCCCAGCAAGGCTTGAGAGACCCCCCTCCCCTCCCCTCCCCTCCCACACCTGAAGTCCCTCACACGTCTCCCGCCCGCCCCTCACGCACAACTCACCTTTCACCGGAAAAAGTCCAGCAAGAGGCTCTTGAGCGGCGCTGCTGCTGGGTTGACTTTTCCGTTGCCTCACCAAGCATCCCCGCAAGCAGCTCACCTCTCCAGCTACAAGCAAGGGCTCAAAGCTCACCTCTCCCCGGAAAAAGTCCAGCAAGAGGCTCTTGAGCTGTGCTGCTGCTGGGTCGCTGTCAAACTCGGTGCCAATGAAGCAGAAGCACGGCTTTGACCCGACCTGCGAGGCAGAAGGGGGAGAGGATAGAAGGGGAAGGGTTGGGTGTGGGGGGGAGGGGAGGGGAAGAATGAGGGGGGAGCGGGTCGCTGTCAAACTCCGTGCCAATGAAGCAGAAGCACGACTTTGACCCGACCTGAGGGGGTTAAAAGTGAGGGGGAAAAACGAAGCGGGTGGGGGGAGACAGAGGGAGAAGGGAAGAGAGGAAGAAAGGGGGAGCGAGTTGCTAGGAAACTCGGTTCCATAGAGGCAGAAGCATGGCTTGAACCCAACCTGGCTAATCTTCCTTTGACCCACAGATTGTCTCAAACGCTTTGCTGTATTGCTGTAATTTGAAATCCCCTTCCCCTCCCCCTCCCCCTCCCCCACCTCCTCTCATGTGCCCCTCCTCTCATGTGCCCCTCCTCTCATGTGCCCCTCCTCTCATGTGCCCCTCCTCTCATGTGCCCCTCCTCTCATGTGCCCCTCCTCATGTGCCCCTCCTCTCATGTGCCCCTCCTCTCATGTGCCCCTCCTCTCATGTGCCCCTCCTCTCATGTGCCCCTCCTCTCATGTGCCCTCCTCTCATGTGCCCCTCCTCTCATGTGCCCCTCCTCTCATGTGCCCCTCCTCTCATGTGCCGCCCCTCCTCTCATGTGCCCCTCCTCTCATGTGCCCCTCCTCTCATGTGCCCCTTCTCTCATGTGACGTGGCGAGTGGGAGTCCCCCACATCCAGCAACACTCAGAGCCTAGTCAAAGAAAGCCGTAATTCGTTAGAGGCTTAAAGCCCGCATCCCAAATTACAAGCCGCGGCCTTCAAGCGTTTGAAAAGGACAGGGGCAAGCGTGACCATGCCATTCGGACAGGGGCAAGCGTGACCATGCCATTCGGACAGGGGCAAGCGTGACCATGCCATTGGGACAGGGGCAAGCGTGACCATGCCATTGAGACTGGGGGATTCTCTCAAGTCCAGTGCATTGAGAAACTGGGGACTTTGAGGTTTGGTGCTGTTAGAGCCGTTCAAAAGACCAATATCTGAATCTAACGGTCCAAATTCCACGCATTTTCATCCCACACCACTCACAGCTCGCGCAACAGCCTCAATCGTCCGGTCAAAACTGACTTTGATCGGGCGGGCGAAAGTCCAAGCGATTTCCCCCAATCTTTGTTTGACTTGTGCTTCCCAGGCAATTCACTCCATGATCTCAGTCGCAAAGCTTCATGCCTTGGCGGATGCTCTTATGGGCTTCGCCTAACACTCTGCCGAGTTCATACACGGTATGCATGAGCCGTTTGGGCAGTGGGCTTTAAGGAGCTTCTAAATCCCCAAAGCCAGCAGAAACCCTCACCGCCCCTCCAAGCCCACCTGTGGCGACAGCTTCCCCCCTCCTTTGAGCTGTTGGATGCTGACGTGGCGCGTGACCCCCACTTCCAGCATGTCGTACAGGTGGTAGTCATACATTCGCCCAATCACCAGGTTGTGAGGGCGCTTCTTGGAGTGCGAGGCGAACTGGGGGTTTGGAGGAACAAGGAAGGGGGCAAGATGGGTGAGGTTGAGGCACCACACGAGCCACTTCCAGCATGGCATAGAGGTGGTAGTCGTACATTCTCCCGACGATCACCAGGCTGTGCGGCCGCCTCTTGGAGTGCGAGGTGAACTGGAGGTGGGGGTTTCAGGAGGATACGAGGAGAGGAGGGCGGGGGGAGGGGAAAAAAGGTGTTGTGTTGAGGCAACTCGAGAGCCAGTTCCAGCATGCTGTACAGGTGGTAGTTGTACATGCAAACAATCACTAAGCTGTGGGGGCGGTTCTTAAAGCCCCCGTTCCAAATTGCAAGCCGCGGTGCTCTGCGTATGAAGGGGGCTGGGGCGAGGGTTGCGGGAGATGTTTTGCTGGGGGGTTTGGGGGCTGGTGGGGAAGGGGGTTGTCAAGTTCAGTGCGTGCTGCAATTTGGAACCTCGAAGTGTTCAGGTGCCACAACCGTTCATTTTCCAAGATCTAAATCTAACGGTCTAAACTAGTTTTTTGGGGAAAGGGGAAAGGGGGGGGGGGGGGGGGGGGGTTAGGGTTCAGGGTGTCTCATGACGCCAGGAGACGTCTTTCACTTTTCGAGGGTTCGGGGTTTAGAGCGTGTTTTCGAAATGTGCCAACTGCCGATCTGCTTTTGATGGTGCAAGCAACCAGCAAAACAGATATACTCAAGAAAGCCCAACACATTCTTATGAGAAAGCATAAACCCGAAACCCTCGCCATGAATAGATTGTTATCAAATTTAATTGACAGCTGCGCTAAGGAAACCTCTTCCCCCGATTAGAGAGCCCTTGCTATAGCATAACTTTAGCAAGCACCACTCACCACGAACAAAGAAAGGGTTGTCAGTTCTCTCAACACATCTAAAGGCGCCTCTCTTCTGGCTTCGAACGGCCGCAAGTGCTCTTTCGGGAAGAGAGGGTATTATAAGCCCGAAGCCCTAAAGAGGGCCCTATAGCAGGCAACACTTACCATGAACAAACTGCTGTCTGTTTTCTTTGAGAGCTGTTCCAAAGGCGCCTCCCCGCCCGCTTCGAACGGCCGCACGCGGTCGTTGGGGCGCGAGAGCTTCAGAGAGCCCCCGCTGAACCGCTTTAAATGATGCACGTCTGACAGCACACCGTTCAGCACCGCACTGGAACTAGTGCCGCGCAGCAGCAGCGCCTGGCGCACATTCTCTTTCTGTTGAACAGATGGAGAAGGGGGTTGGGGGTGGGTGGGTGGGGGGGGGTGGGGGGAGGGGAAGGGGGGAGGGGGAAAGAGAAGACAGGTTGTGTTGAGACGGTCGCAGTGAACAGTGGCAAACATAATCTGGTCATAAAAAAGCCGTTGTTTTTACGGAGCGTTTAGCCTTCGGCCTAAAAACGCGAGGAGTTTTAACAGTACTACGCAGCGTACTATTTTCGGCGCGCGAGTGTCTAGGACGAGCTTCCCCTTCCTCGTCGTGGCTCTCGACGCTTTAAACATGGCTGCACGATCTTAACGCGACCACCGGCTGTTCCCGTGACTGTCGGTGACTGCAGTGTTGCACTACGTTTAGGGTTGAAAATCAGGAAACCTCTAGAATTGAAACTTCAGAAACCTCGGCTACGTTTCAACGCGGCTATACTGACGGCACGCCGTGAATAGCGACGATATGTCTACTGAGGCGGCACCCGGGACAGGAATGTCGATTTGGAAAGAATAAACTAGAAGACTAAGAGGCGACGCTTCGACAGGTATAACGAGACGCGTTTTAGGAAGTGAAAGGGAGCGTTTAGGAGGTACGAGGGTGGAGGGGTTTGGCGAGGGTTGAGGTGTGGGTAAATGAAGCGATTGGCGGAATTTCGTTACACTTCGTGACAAACTCGGACGTACGAACCAAAACAAATATGAACATGATCTGCTCTAAGAGACACCCGAAGTTAGCTTTTTGGAGACAAAAATTGGTTGTGCTGCAGTTTTTACGCAATTCATATTGTCTGATGTATTTTTATATATTGGCACAGTTTCCAAATATCGAAGTGGCCTGGTAAATTTATCGCCTCTGTAGCGCGTATGAAGATTCAAACTTTCAAACAGCAGCGAAACAGCTGCGGTTCCGTCGTCCCCGTTTTGCTCGTATGCCGTGTTGGTTGCTTGGGTTGCGTCGCTACAAATCATCCGCAACCCCAGCAATTACTCACTGCACTCAATTGTTTAGCTCCAATCTCGTTTTCCCATAAGCAACTCCATGGTTCGCGACTTGATTTGTGGCTTTCTCTCCACACTTGCAAACACTGCACTCCAAGCGCAATACCTCTCTCAATCTAGTAAGACCGTGTCGCGCAGAATTTTTGAGGCGCATCATTACTCAGCGCAACACATCTCTCACTTGAGTTAGAGCGTGTCGCGCAGTCAGTCATGAGCGCCGTCACCATCACTCAGGTCAAGGTTCTCGACAACCCCGGCCCGTTCCTCTCTCCTCTCCGCCTCGAGATCTCCTATGACTGCATCCGGCCCCTGGAGGACGGTACGTGTAGCACTTCTCACTCCTCATTCTCCCTCTCACTGTAGTAGTCAGAGCATATATCGCGGTCATGCGCGCCGTCACCATCACTCAGGAGGTTCTCGACAACCCCCGCCCGTTCCTCTCTCCGCTGCGCCTCGAGATCTCCTATGACTGCATACGACCCCTGGAAGGTGGTACGTGTTTACGGGGATAACTTAGAGCGTCACGGTCAGCCATGAGCGCCGTCACCATCACTCAGGTCAAGGTCCTCGACAACCCTGGACCGTTTCTCTCTCCTCTCCGCCTCGAGATCTCCTATGACTGCATCCGGCCTTTGGAGGACGGTACTTGTATAAGGGAGCGGTGATTGCTGCTCGCCACGATCCCCGAAAGCCTCAGAACGAATTGGATGACTACAGACGACTTCGATATCGCAAGGCGATGGATCAGCGAACGACCCTGGCTACGACAAATGGTGCCAGAGGGCGTCTTATGTGTGCTCTCCCTACCTCTCTCGTCTCCCTAACTCCGATTCTGGCAGACCTGGAGCGGTAGTGCACGTGGGCTCGGCCAAGTATTCTGACTACGACCACTGGTGCTGGCGAGCGTCTGATATGTGCCAAACCTCTTTTTCCTTGCCTCTATTTCTTGCAGACTTGGAGTGGTCCATAGTGTACGTGGGATCAGCCAACGATCCTGACTACGACCAGGTGTTGGAGAGCGTTATGGTCGGCCCAGTCAATGTCGGCAGCTTCAGGTTCATCCTCGAAGTAAGCATCTCCATTACGCGCACTGTAGGGTAAATACTAAGTGTATTTTTCAGCTCTTTTGCAACAATCAGCAAAGGAATCATTGTGGTGGTGCCTGTCTGGAGTCACTGCAACAATTGACAATATTTGGTGAGGCGGTTTTCATGATTGGTTGAGTTTCCTGCCTGGCAATTTCTCGTCCGTGCCCGTTTCTCTTCCATATTCCACTGCTTACTGCGTTTCCACAGGCGGATCCACCTGAAGTGTCCAAAATTGCAGAGGGCGAGATCCTGGGGGTGACCGTTCTCCTGCTCACATGCGCCTACAGGGACCAGAAGTTCATCCAAGTCGGGTACTATGTCAATAACGAATACGTGGAGGAGGAATTGCAGCAGGAACCCCCTCCGAAGGTCGTGTTCGATAAGCTATCGCGAAACATCTGGGCCGAGAAGCCCAGAGTGACTAAGTTCGCAATCAACTGGGAGCCCGTGGGAGGGTCAGAGTATGCTGGAGAGCCCATGGTGGAAGATGCAGTGCAAGGGATCGGGTACGGGGGAGCAGGGGATGTGGGAATGGGGTATGTGGGGGGAGAGGAGCATCGGGGCTTTGGTATGGGATCCGAACCAGCGCCTTGGGCCGCAACTGAAGCAGCACCTGCTGAAGCAGTGGCTACGGACGCAGTTGCTACGGAAGCAGTTGGTACTGAAGCAGTAATTACGGATGCGATTGTTACTGAGGCAGTTGCTGGTTCAGGTGATGCAGATGGAGCTGGAGATTTGGAAGGAGTGACAGATGCAGAGGCCACAGTAGCTGCTGGGGTGCCAAATGAGCATGCAGCTGTAGAGCGGACTGAGCTGGATGTGGGAAGGGAGCCACTATCAGATGCAGGCTTGGGAAGTGGTCCAGGACATGCTGCTGCTGCTGCTGCTGCTGCTGCTGCTGCTGCTGCAGTTGAAGACGATAGCGTTTGTGCATCGGTTATGCAGGATAGGGATGCAGAGGATCTGTTGCAAGCCAGCTTGAGAGTGCAAGAGGGCTGCTGATTTTTCAGGTTATCTGTTTCGCTGCTCACATTTGCCAGTCTTCTCTTGGCATACCTTTTCATTCCACATCTATGCACATCGTAACAAGCTTCCCTGTGTGCCTAGGACCAGCGCCGCCATAGCTAGACCTGTCAGAATGGCGCATGAAAAGTGACCAAGGGAAAATGTCGAGAGCACAAGAGTGGGGTAAACGTAGTCGACATACGTTCCGGTGGATCTCCAAGATGGCATCTATCCAGTGTGAGGCCCAGGGTACCAAGGTCGCCTCAGCGTAAGTGCGAGGGGTCGGGATGTCAAGGGCGTCTGGGTCACCCTCAGGGACTAGCAGCATGGAACAGAGATGGAGAGCAGCCTCAGACAGGAAAGCAAGCTCGTACTGCCTGTCCTCTAGGACGTCACTGCCAAGGGCAGGAGCACCCCCGACGGACAGAGGGCAGGCAGGGCCAGAGACCAGAGCTGTGGCGTAGTCAAGGCGGCGGGTAGAGGCGAAGTCAGCGGCAGCAGCGACAAGAGCGCCAAGACTTGAGACAGGAACAGACGGGCTAGTAACGAGGGAGGCTAGTTACCGAGGAACAAGAGGACGATCGGCACGAAGGCAGTCAGACAGAGGAGGCGGAGCGACAACGATCGACGACGGAGGAGGGAGGGGAGGAGGGAGGGAGGAGATGCGTGGAAATGGAGCAACATGGGGTGAGCACAGGACAAGAGAGACAGGGCTGTTGTGATATAATTGATACTTAGCATTTCTGTAAGTCGATAAGTGTTGTTATTGTCGAAGCATACTGTAGAAGATAAGTCCGTAGGATGACGTCAGCAAATAGCGCTCGTCATAGGACAGTCGTTTCAGTCACGCAAACAGTCGCACCTCTTCATTATCATCTAGGGTGCATAGCGCGATAGTGACAAACAGGTACATTAGCGAATAGGTACTTTTCGTAGAACTATAAATACTTGTTAGGTCTTCTTCATTGTTAACTTTGATTACTCACAAGTTCACGTACTCAGGTTATTCAACCTTGACTTCTATATTTTATAAGACTTCCGCTGTCTTACTAGTCTACCATTCCAGCAAAGATCCTGGACCAACACTTGAGGATTTGCCAAGTGTTCGTATTTATAAGTTTTATACTTAGTCTACTACAACACCAAACGATTTATTTCATGGTATGAGAGCTATCTGGAATTAAGACTACCGTCAACTATGACCTGTCCAACACCAGCACCATCTGCTGGATCAGTTACTGGGACTACTGGAGCACATGCCTCCACTACCGCCGCTGGTCTCTCAGCCTCTGGGCACTTTCCACCAGCCTATGCTAATATCGGTATGCAGAATCCGCCTTCTGTGAATACTCCAGGTGCTCCATCGACTGCACCTGCACAGCAACAACAACAGCCACAGACAACAGCACAGCAACAAGCGTCAGTACAACCACCAGTTTCAACGCAATCGATTTCATCTGCGTTCAGTGGCATGAGCCGATGCGTGGAGCTACAGCTCCAAGTACTGGTTCGTTCGCTTTCTCACCTTTCGTATAGCAGCCGCAGTCGCAGCAGTTTCAGCATCCTTTCTATACCTTCGGTCGTTCCCCTGCTCAGCAACAACAACAGTAGTATCAGCAACCACAGCAAGTACAGCAACAGCAACAGCAACAGCAACAATAACAGCAACAGCAACAGCAACAACAGCAACAGCCAGGCATTGTTTTTCAGCCTCCAAATTTACTGAACAATACTCAGATCAAGACAACCGTACCTTTTAATGGTGTTGACTTCTACTCCTGGAGCTTTGAGTTTGAACTTCTGGCGCAGTCCGCTGGGCTATGGCCGTTCTTCACTGGCGAATTTACGTACCCTGTCGTGGGAACACAACTGGAGCAGCAGAGTTTTTTATACGCCTCTCTCGGGGCGTATACAGTTCTTGTACGGAACTTGTCGCCGAAGGAGCAGCTCGGCGTTCGATCATTTCATTCAAGTTTCACACCAGCTGAAACTGCATGGAATCATCTGAAAGGGGTATACATGGCAAAGGATACGATAACAGTGAGTAAAATACTTTCGCAGCTGACAAGTGTGCAGATGATGACAAACGAAAACGTCATGGACTAAGTTAACCGTGTCCGTACACTACGAGATCAACTGGAAAAGAGCGGAGGATACTTCCCTCGTGAGATGTATCTCACGGTACTTCTGGCTGGTCTTGGACCCGAATGGCGACAGACGCGCGCCTTCCTTCGCATGAACCCCAACCTCTCCGAAGCTGAAATTTTGTCGTATCTTCAAGCGGAACAGCAAGATATTGACCTGCAAACACAACGAAATCAGAAAAAGGGGCTTCATTTAAGTTTTTACTCCAATCCATAACATCAGCATCGACACCCCCCAAAGTATCCGTTCTGCCATTATTGTAAGAAACCAGGTCATACTTACCAGAACTGTCGCAGCCGTCATCAAGCTCGTCGCCCCACTTCGCAGCCGTATCACCGAACACAACAGTTACCGAAGACACAACAGCCACAGCAGCAGTTAACGTCTCAGCAGCAGCAGATGCCGAAACCAACGCAGAATTCATCAACGTCGCAGCATCGCCCGCCGGTCTTCGCATCTGCCACATCAGGAAAAGGATTTTTTGGTTGTGTTACAACAGTTGGTATTTCAGAAACAGATTTCGAGACACGACTTGAAGAAACCACAAGTGCTGAAGGCATTCCTTTGCCTCAAGTTTACGCTAACCTCGCTCGAATCATTTCAGGTCCGAATACCTGGTATCTTGACAGTTGCTGCGGATGGCACATGTGCTCAGCACAAACAAGCTTCATTAATAATCAGCGTCCACTTCGTCGTCCGATACCTGTAACAGTCGCAAACGGACAAACTATTATGGCACGAGCAGTTGGAAGTGTCAGGCTCGAATCTATCGACACGGGATACTCACTTCATGTTACTAATGTTCTGATCGTCGCCGGTCTTGGCTTCAATCTTTTTTCCACGGCTCAACTCATGGCACACAAAATATGCACACAGGGCAATTGTGACACGATGGATCAGGAGCTCTGGCACAGTTCAACGAATACTTATCTTGGTCGTGCCGCCACTCAACATGGCGTGTCCGTTCTTCAATTCGCAGCTCAAGGAACTTCTGGCGATTCTGAACGGGTGCTTGCACTTGGTCCCTGGGATCACCCAGAAGAAACAGATTATCAACACGTGGACATTAACTTTCGAGCAACTACTGTACCAACAGCTTCTCGAGCTGCAGCCGCCGTACTTACCGCGTTGGATACCTGGGAGTTTAATACCGCCGATGAAAGCGCCAACGCTTGGCGAACCTTTTATAATACCCGTGCAGCCTTCCAAGGAACTCCAGCACCACTTTGGGGAGAGATAAGTGGTCTTGCAGCTGATGAACCTGACGTTGTTGAAGAAGCCGAACAGGAAGAAGTAGCTGAGCAGCCGAGTCCAACAGTAGCTGTCGCCGAAATACCTGCCACGACATCAACAGAAGAAGTGTCAAAAGTTATACTCGCAACTGCAGCAGCACCTTTAAATGTCACGTTACCTCTTAACCGTTTCGTCGACGGAGAAATTGACAAGTCACCAGCACTTTCTCCTTTTATACTTTCTTCGTTTTATACTAACTACGATTTTTACCTGCGATCATAAGGAAACAAAGCCACAGAAGATATATGGCATCAGCGGTTAGGACATCCATCACAAGGGATCCTTAATCACTCAATCCGAGCAGCAGTTCTTGATAAAAACAGTTTACTTTTACCTGATGGCACGGAGATGAAGCCGTAGTCTCGTCCGACGGTTTGCACCACTTGTCCCGTTGCCAATCTTACGCACGATCCATTTCCCAGTCACTTTCCTGGCTCAACACGTTATAAACTGATGCAGAAAGTCTACAGCGACATACTCAACTTCTCTGAACCAGGACCTAGAGACGAGAAGTATGTGATAACCTTCATCGAAGCATCTACACGCTATGTCTGGACAGCAAACTTACCTGTGCAGCATCTCGCTCACTCCGTCTTCGTCGCGTGGCTCGCTGTCGCTGAACGAGAGTCAGGCGTGAAACTGCAAGAATTTCAGAGTGATGGTGCAGGGGAGTACACCAGCAACACCTTCACAGAGCACCTTCAGACCCTCGACATCAAACGGAAGCAGTCACTGCCACATGCACACCAACAGATGGGGGTAGCAGAAAGAATGAACAGAACTCTGCAGGAGAAGATGCGTGCTCTGCTGACACAGGCAGCTCTTCCACCGCATTTTTGGCCGTATGCGATGGACCACGCCGTGCTGTTACACAATCTTCTTTCTTCAATGTCCCTGCCCGAGTTCTCTTCTCCACACCTGCAGTGGACACGTACATTGGGAAGCACGAAACTTTTACGAGTTTTCGGGTGTGTTGTACAGTTTCGTCCTCCAACCGCAGCACTCGGAAAATGTTCCGAACGAGCAAAATGGGGGGTACATCTCGGCATCGAAAAACAGTATCACGCGTGGAAGATTTTGGATCTCCGGTCCCATCAAATCGTTCCATCACGTGATTGTCTTTTCTATGAAAGACTCACCTTGCCCGTTTTTCGTGCCCACCAGGCAGCAGCTGCCAACCCTGCCAGGCTGTTCGAAGGCTCGCGTGCATTTGCAACTGACGAAGCCGAAGCTGATGTTCAAGACGAGGATGTTTCTGAAGCTTCCGAAGCTGCCGCAACAGACATCCCCGAACCTGTTACCTCGACTGGCATACCTGAATTCATTCCTCGTGCAGATGCTGACCCGGATGACGTTCGCGAAGTTCATCTCTGTTACGAACGTGATCGCCAACAGCAGCCGATGCCCGTCGTCTCTGACGAAGCAGTTCGTGTTACACCTGACGAAATTGGGGGGGAAGAAGGACCAGAAGAAAATTTCGCAGGTGCAAACGAAGAACGTCCGCGCTTTACAGAAACATGATTGCAGATACTGGGGTTCGCAGTCACAGTACAGTACAACGACAGTAAAATACCTGAACAAAAAACCGTTCGACAAGCTCTTACGAGTCCTCACCGAGAGAAATGGCGCGAAGCCATGGACAAGGAGCTAG